ACATTTCCCAATTTTGGAAATCTTTGCCTACTGGATTATATAGATCTTCCACAAAACTTTCGGCCAGAATTTATCAAATAAATCTCTTGAAACTTGAGCACATATCCAGTATGAAACAGCAAGTCTCATGGGTTCATCATGAAAGACAGCTCTTTAGCCTTATACTCACTATACTTCAAATCTGAAATCCCCACCATCAATACCCTAAGTTAAAAATATGAAGTTTGAAAAATCAGATGTCTCTTTTAACAAAGCTTTTGTTTCTATTAATTTTGTTTTGTTCCGATTTTGATTCAGTAACAAAATGTTGAAAATTACCTTTTTTTTTTTTAATGTTCACACTAACGTACTGTGTGTACTCAAGAAATCTAGATGATGAGCAGTTGATCAAAGAATCCAAAGTCTAACAGCATCTCAAACCAGCTCCTCTGTGAATAGCACATAACTCAAAGAAATATTTCTGGAAGATCTTTGTAATATGAAGCCGTATTTGACTAAGGTAATCCTTCCCTCTGTGTTGGGGAGTAGACTTTTTTCCAAGTGTGCCCACTATTTCAACTTCTTTCCATTTTCTTTTTTAAAAAAAAATAGGGCATAGTAATGTAAACGGAGACAGTGTACTTCTCTAGATTAGTAACGGCACACTAGTGATGAGAACGTGTTTGTAATATTCCCCACCCACACGTGTTCCTGAGTATCCATCCATCCACAGGTGTGTCATCCTGTCACAAGGGGACAACTTACTCCTTGGCTCTCATTTGATTATAGCTGATGCAGCCATAAAACACAGCTAGAAAGATTTAGCACTATCTCCCGTTACCTCCCTTTGCTCCTGCCATCTCCTACTTGTGTGCAGGAAGCATTCTAGGTGTGGCAAGCTAAACCCTTCTCAGAGTATCTGGGGGTCCATGGACCACCCAGGGAAAGTATGCCAGCGCCCAAGCTGGGCTAAGGGAAGTTCTTGATTCCTTCCAAGGATTCTGACCACAGAACTATGTTGAAGTCAGCAAGGGTTGTTATAGAAGTGAAACAAGGAGGAAGTAAGAAATGAAGAGGACCTCCAATCTCATTCCAAACATATTTGAATAACCCTTGAATGCAGGGTATGTCTGTGGACAGATGCCAAAAGCAAGACATAGACTTCTTTTTTGTCTTCCTCAATGTTTTTAAAAATTATTTTTGAATTTTTTATTTGGGTATAGCTGATTAACAATGTTGTGACAGTTTCAGATGACAGAGAAGGGACTCAGCTATACATATCTATGTGTCCATTCTCCCACAAACTCCCCCCCACTATCCAGGCTACTACATAATATTGAGCAGAGTTTCTTGTACTATACAATCGGTCCTGGCTATTTATCCATTTAAAATATAGCAATGTGTACATGTACATCCCACCCTGCCTAACTATCCATCCCCTGTCCTTCTCCCCAGCAACCACAATTGTGTTCTCTAAGTCTGTGAGTCTCTTTTTGCTTTGTAAGTAAATTCATCTCTTGGTAGATTCCACATATAAGGGATGCCATATGATACTTCTCCTTCTCTAACAAGACATAGACTTCTTAACACAAATGTGATAAGTCCATAGTGATCGTAACTTTCTGAACGAGGAACAAATTCCTGGTTGACTCTTAAACCTGTTGGAACACTCACCTCTACCCCATGAGTTATTAATGGAGGATCTTTGAGGCCAGTTATAACAAGGAAACCAAAAATAATGAACAGAATTTTCTCTAATATTTTCCCAAAAAAGTATAGCAGTTGCTGCAGTGGTTATACAATAAGCAGCTATAATATGTCAAAGGCTAACCAAGAACAAATTATGTGGTTTCTTTTTGCAGGCCAATTGTTTCCTTAAGAAAACCACATCATGGCTTTCAAAAGGGGTAGCCCAAGTCTGTAGACCCACTACTGTATGATACTTGACAGAGAAAGTGTCTGATGTGCTCATATATCAGAAAAAAGAGCAAAGATAAATAAAGGAATAAATCCAAAGGGGATGAAAATCTCCTTTTCTATCAAAGGTTCACAATCGTCAATGCTTCAGTGTAGATTAACAGCAGGACCTGGGGACCTACTAACCTTTAATGATGAAGAATGGGGCTGTAGAAACCTAGCTAAAGTAGTCTAAATTTCCCATTAGCCCTTTCTGATAGTGAAGGAAACTGTAGTTCTTGGTTAACTGGAATGGCTACAGAATGTCATCCCTAATTTACCTTCTGCCTCCCTTTCAAAGTTTAGATATTCCAGAAAATTTGCTTAAAAAGATAACAGAATTCCTTTAGTACATCTTTAGGCTTTGTTTCTGGCCACTCTCAAACATGGTTTCTCCTGGCTGCCTTCTGGTACTGACAAGTCACTTGTTTCATTTTTCTAAAAGACAATTATTTCCTCCAAAATGTTGAATATGTTTGTAAATGGTAAGTACTGTTTTGCTTATACTTGAATCTTAGATCTTTTATTAAAAAGGAAACAAACTCTGAACCAACAAAAGTACTATCATAGAGACAATTCTGAACCCCAAGTCCTTTGGCACTTGGAGGCTATTGCATTTAGCAACAAATTCAAATTTAATTAAGTAAGCTTAGCTTTAACCTGAGATTTTTAATTATACACATTGCCCAACTACACAGAGACATATTAAATATACCACATTGTTTTCTTTTAAGGGCACATGATATAACACCAGCTTCAAGAGAGAAGTCATGTTTAGCCAGCAAAATTTTTTAAACCAAAGTTAATTGAATACATCACAGGCTTAATTTAGTTCATTTTAATTTTAATTATAGCTATAATCCCTTCTTCCTCAAAGGTAGAGAAATCAAGCTAATGATTCTAAGATAAATCTGCTGTGCAGAAAAGAATTTACATTAGGCCAGCAACTGTTATCATTAGAAAAGCCTGTTGGAAAGATTGGCCCTTTGCTGGCATCTGGGAACTTGGATTTCAGGAGGGTTCCCACCATCCCTAACTGGTAATATGGCTCATTGCCTAAACTGGTTGCATAAAAAACATGGTTTATGCTGAACAATGGTTTTCCTTCTAGGAATCTGGAATTTAGGCACATACCATGAAGAGGGTGCCTCAGTGACCAACCCCCAATAAAAACTCTGGGTACTGAGTCTATCTTTTATTTTCTTGTTTTTAAACAGCTTTTGTGTGTGTGGTAAGAACATTTAACATGAGATCTCCCCTCCTGACAGAATTTTAAGTGCACAATATGGTGCTGTCAACTGCAGCCACAATGCAGTTCAGCAGATCTTGGGAGCTTATTCATCTTGTAAGTGAAACTACTATACCTGTTGAAGAGCAATTCCTCATTTCCCCTTCCCCCAGTCCCTGGCAACCTCCGCTGTACTCTGTTTCTGTGAGTTTGACTCCTAGACATCTCATATAAGCACTGAGCCTTTTTAATAAGCTTCGCTGATAGAAGGCTTCTCTGGTGAACACATGTCACATGTGTTGTCACAACTCATTACTAGAGGAATTAAATACATCCTTCTGAATCTACTGGGAGATGGAACTCCTGAAAACTTGTTTCTGCTTTCCTCCAGATGTTGCCCCACGTGCCTTGCTCTTTGCTGATTTTTCTCTGTACTCTTTTGCTCTAATAAATCCCAGGCATGAATACAACTATTTACTGAATTCTTGGAGCTCTACTAGCAAATTACTGAACACAGCAGTGGACTTAGTGATCTCTCACATACCTGGCAGGTAAATCCTACCCTCTACATGAGTGAAGCAGTACTGATGCCAAACAGGGGAAACTGGATTTCTGAGGCAGTATTTTTCAAAGAATGCTCAGATCAAGCTGCCGTATAAAATTCCGACCTGCTTTAATGTGTCTGATGGATAGATGTACAGTCTTCTTTATACACACAGTTCATCCAGAAAAAAAAAATCACATATGTATTTCCTTCTTCTTGCTTCAAGTTAAGAATGCGTTGTCTTATTTATCTAGTAGTGATTTCCTCATACTTTTTAATGATATAGGTGCTTTGAACTGGTCTGTAACAATTCAAACAGCTAAATTCAATATCTTAGATTATAGTTACTGCTGACATTTTTTCTGACCACCACTTTTCCAACAACTTTTAGGAAAACCCAAAAGGTTCCTTCTCTAGACATGCCTTGAACTTGGCAGACAATGAGGAAGAATCACATTTGCACCCCAGCAAATTGCTCTGTTTCTGTAATCCTTAAAAATGTTCAAGTGTCTGTTCAAGTGTGGACCACTAGTTTCCTCCTCTCAAAATGCAGCTGGCCAAAAAAATCAAATAATGGATGTGCTCACAATTCTCACTTTTTCTGACAACATTTTACCTGGTAATAGCTATTAAAGAGTAAAAACCCCACTGTAAACAGCAGAAAAAGAATAAAAATACAAATACCTAGTAAAGTAAGAAATGCAAATGCTACATTAGTAATTGGAGGCCTCACTCATTCTTCTATACATCTTATTGCAGAATAAAACTCCTTATGCTGGGAACTGAAACAGTATTCTGGTAAGCAAGACCTGAAAATGTCAAAGGCCAAATTACTAGGCTGATGATCATAGTTGTGTATTTCCTTTGATTCTAATTATAGTACAACTTATTCTTGATTCCAAATTCATTTTGCATCAATGAACATTGCCTACTGTTCTCAGATATGTATGCCTACATGTTAATTTGTCCATTAGTTCTCATTTGTTAAGAAATTTTTCTATTTAATCACCTGTGACCAGTATTAATTTCCAAGCCCAAGTCCCTTTCCCCGGATACTCATTTGCATTCATCAATACTTTTTCAAATACTCCTTGTAAAATAATTTGACTAAAGTGTCTCCTCTTGTAGAGACTGCAATATTACCTGAGAAAAATTACCAGATTTTCTCTTGACTCTAAAGACCCCATTTCCCTTTGATTCAAATCAAGCAATGAGCCACAAAACTCAAGAGATCCCAGATAACAATCATTGTTTAAAATAGAAAATGGGGCAATGTCACCCAAGGTCACTCACCCACTGGAGTCGGCAGAAGTGATAGCAATCAGGGGTAGAATCTTCAAGGGGAGGGTGGTTGGCCTTTGAAGGTTCTCTGATTCACTCTTCAAGTCTGCTTGTTCCAACTGTCTGAAGGCGAGAGGGGGAAGCTGGATGTTGCGGCAAGAAAGTCTCCTTACAAGATAGGGTTCCATTTCTTTCAAAGGGTCTTCCTCTTCATGACTGGAGTGCAGTGTTTCCTCAGAGGCCTAAGGCAAAAGTTCCAGAAAGTACAGTGATCCACAAAGGTCCCAGGATGTATCATTACACTTTTGGAGAAAGAAACTGAGGGAAACTTATACATGAAAAATGCTAACTGGAAAGCAATGAGCTTAACAGAATAATATTTGGTGAAAGACAGTTGTTAGAGTTAACCAACATTTCCAATAATAGAATTTATGAGCTTTGGGCATGAATTCTATGAAATCAAGGGTAAATAAAAATATTTTCTACCAATATGAAGTGAACTGCCCACCACACCCTCTTTGGTCTTTAGGAGCCCAAGGTAGTGTTTCAGGGGAGAGCTTTGGCGAGTGACTACATACTCTGAGCAGGGCGCTTTGCAGGGTCTCTCTCTTGGACTGGCTGGTGTGTAGGGGAGCAGAATTTGGCTCCCTTGAATGTTTCTATTTGGCCTATGTTGTTTGAAGCTGGCTATTTCCTGAATTGGAGAAGGAAATGGCAACCCACTCCAGTATTCTTGCCTGGAAAATCCATGGACCAAGGATCCTGGTAGGCTAGTCATGGGGTTGCAAAGAGTTGGACACGACTGAGTGACTTCAATATGGAAAGAAAGGGCTCTGGAAACCAAGCAGGAACTGCCGTTTGCTAAGACATGTTTCCATTGGTAAGAGTGACTCCCTGTGAGAAGCTGGAAGAGGATGAAGACCCACCCATTCCCCCCAACACCCCCCAAAATGGAAGTAATATTTACTCACAATTATTAAGTGAGCTGATGCATGTAATGTACATAGCTCATTATGGGCAATGTGATAAGCAATCATCAGTGGCAATTTCCTTTCCTTCTGAGTTGTACAGTTGAAGAAACTAGCCCAGAGAGGCAAAATACTTTCTGCAAAATTACCCTGTTGGTTATAAGTTAAAAGTGCATTTACTTTGGAGAGTTCAGACCTGGCTTAGAATCTCAGTTGCACTTCTCACTATTATTGGGTTTGCCAAAAGGTTCATTTGGGTTTTTCCATAACATCTTACAGAAAAAGCCAAAGAAATCTTTAGGCCAACCCAACACTATCTTTGGGCAAATAACTTAAGCTCACTAAGATTGGTTCTCCATTTGAACACTGAGGATGATAATAATAATTACTTCTGAGGATCACTGACTGCAGCAGAGATAGAAAGGATATGATGCACTGGTCTATGGCCTAGAGTTTACACACAACAAAATAGCAGTTGTCATTATTATAATCCAGGCTAACTCCCTTTATCTTTTCATAGCACTATGCTGCCTTTGATCCTTCATTCATCCATACTGTTTTCCAAACAGAAAAATTGTCTTGTTCTGAAATATATCCTGAAAAATGTGAAAGGACATGCAATGGTGGATTGTATTCAGCCATGGGTTTTACTGTTTAATTTCATGGATGAATACAATGAGAAAAGAAGTCACCTGGAAGGTAAAGAAGACATCAAAGCTAAACATAAAGTTCATTCATTTCAAATCCTAGACATGAAGATCTAGATTCTGAGAACTAGTGCTTTCAGGAATCTACTTGCTTTGTAAAACAACAACAATAATAATGCCCTTGAAAGCAGGAAGTCTGGTTTCCTCGGTGTGTATGCCCAGAAGTGGGATTGCTGGGTCATATGGCAGTTCTATTTCCAGCTTTTTAAGAAATCTCCACACTGTTTTCCATAGTGGCTGTACTAATTTGCATTCCCACCAACAGTGTAAGAGGGTTCCCTTTTCTCCACACCCTCTCCAGCATTTATTGCTTGTAGACTTTTGGATAGCAGCCATCCT